CGTATTTGTGATATCTTGTCCACTCAACTACACTTTTTCATAGTAAGACTTCTTATCATTATAGCGCAACCCACGACCGGTTTCGCCCTTCTTGGGGCTCATCAGGCAGGCGCAGTCCCTGAGTTTCCGTCAACCTTATGTTCTACTTGAACCCAAATTGGACTGTTTTCGGGAAATACACTCATTTGCAAATCAATTTGGAATATCATAAACGAGAGCTTCAGTTGAGTCTCTCGTGAAAACCAAAGTTAATTAGATTTCAACTTGTTCCACACATTCACATCACTGTCCAACAAATAGGGCGTCTTTGATTCATCTGAAGCATTCACTGGCTAGGGTCTAGAATGATGATACAAACAGAAAACCGGATTTCTCTTTCCTAAACAAAACCCAAACAACCATGTAAATATGACTGTTACCCCTCGAAACATGAGAGCTTAACGACCTGGTGGGAACAGCACTGAGACTGTGACTGGATTTCTTACCTAACGTCTATCCAACTTTGCGCAATTAGCTACTGTTGGGTAGTGTTCGCGAAAGTTGCTCGGTTAGTATGATTGACAACATCTTACTCCACCACAGACTTTGCCTGTATCACTGCTGTTTAAGGATTTCAATAGTCCCTTCTTGATCCTCTTCTCTGATAAAAGAAGGAATTCTTCTTCTTCCTTCTCACTTTCTGCTAGGATATTCTTGCATCGCACTTGTATAGCCAGGCATCTTGTAATACCGCGTAATGTTGTCCCAACCTGCATGCAATAAATTATCCACCAAGGCTAGTACGTCATGAATATATTCTGGGATAAATAGCTGCGGTATGCGGTCACAAAGAGACTGGACCTTACCGTGGTGTGACGGTTTGCGCACCTCAGCGATCTATTGAGCTATACTGGAGAGTGTCCCGCGACACTCACAGAGTCTCTCATACCAGGTTGGTCAATGGTTAGAGGTCTGACGAACACAGTCTCCTAGCTCTCCAGGTTGGGGGTTGGAACATGTGGCGGCTTGTTTCGTAGAAATGGTAATGCATTTGCATTTCCCACCAAACACCGCTGCCTTGCGGTTAGGCTTTTGAGCCAAAGGCTTTGGTTGAGGACCCTAATCGTCCTCCTGTCTAGGTGTTGGCGCCCTGACAGTACCCCATCCCACGTACAACCATGAATTGCACATACACAAATAAATTCATGCCACATCGGCCGTCGCGTGGTGCCATCAGCCGGGTCGCCTTACTTGCTGCATACAGCAGGGCGGGTAAGCGAAAACAGGCTACTGCTGACGCCTCCCTTCTTTCTTCTTCACATGCTT